CCCCCCAAGTTTATCTTTTGATTTCAGAAATTTGACTATGGTGTGTCAAGGTGAGATCATCTTTATATTTATCATTTTGGGATTTCTTGAACTGCAAGAATACGTGGGTGGATGCCTGCCATTCAATTTGGAAGAAAATTACAAAATAAAAAAAAAAACAAAAAAAAAAAAAAAAAAAAGAAATTCTGCCCATTTGTCTCTCTCCTTTTGTGACTCCAATGATATACATATTGGTATCACAGGCCACTGGTGTTTTGTTTTAGTTTTTCTCAATAATTTTTTTCTCTTTGTACTTCATTTCGTGTAACTTCTAATAGTTGTTAAATATTGTCAAGTCAGTACAGACTCACAGCGACCAGGAATAGGGTTTCCGAGGCTCTAAATATCTGTGGGAGCAGAAAGCCTCATCTTTCTCCCATGGAGTGGCTGGTGGGCTTGAACTGCCAATCTTGTGGTTTGCAGTCCAGTGCTTATCTGACAGCACCACCGTGATTTTAATTTGCTGATTTAAGTTAACTGATGCTTTCTCCTGCTATCTCGAATCCAAATTAAACCCATCCAGTGGCATTTTTATTTCATTTACTTTCTCAGCTCCAATATTTCCGTTGTGTTTGCTTCTAGAGTTTCAAGATATCGTCTAAAATATCCCCATTACTTTAGCATATTAATCCTTTGCTTTATAAATTATGTAACATAGTTACCATGATTTTATTAAAGTTCCTGTCTTCTTATTCTGCTGATTTTTTTTTGTTTGTTTGTTTCTTTTGATTGTGGGTCATACTTTTCTGTTTTGGTTTTTTTTTTGTGTGTGTAATGTTTTGTGATTTTAAATGTTATGCTGGACATTGTGTATAGAAGGACAAAGGAAATTGAAGTCTATCATTTGTTTTATTTTGTTTAGTCCCAGTAAGTTCAAGCCTTTCATTCTAACAGGTAGTTTTGAAAACCTAGATTCCCACTTTTCATCTTCCTATCCTTACTATGGATTGGCCAAGTGGCAGCATCGATGGACTCAAGCATGGCATCAGTAGTGAGGTTGGCCCAGGACCAGGCAGTATTTCATTCTGCGGTGCATAAGGTCACTATGAGTCAGTACCGAATCAATGGCACCTAACAACAACAATATCCTTACTCCTAACTACATCCAAAGGAGCTCTGGTAGCATAGTGGTTACGAATCGGGCTGCGAACCTTAAGGTCAGCGGTTCGAAACTACCAGCCGCTCCGCGGGAGAAAGATGAGGCTTTCTAGTAAAGATTTACACCCTCGGAAACTCTGTACAGGGTCGCTATGGGTCGGACCCGACTCGATGGCACTTAACAACAACAACAACTACCTCCAAGACTTGAGCTGGAGATGGGTGACGGATATGATTAGTGGAATTTTTCTTTGCCTTTAGTTTATCCTTAAACCAAACCCTCAACTTCTGTACCTCCCATCAGGGGCTAATTCCTTAAAACTTGTCATTATTTAAATTTAGAGGGTTGATCTGTAGCTTTAGATGTTTTTGATTAATCTTTTGATCCTATTCCAGCTGGGCCCATAGGTCTGAGCACTGTTAGACTATGCATACTCCCTCTGATTTTTGGCCCTGTCACTTCCTTGGCAAATTTCTGAGGATGGGGTAAAGAGAATTGTTGGGCCAATAAATTTATTTGTGTGTTTGGGACTCTTCATGATTTCCATAGATTTTGCCATATTAAATGCTTGGCCGGTTTCTTCTCATTCATGAGTTAAAAAATAATTGATTACAAGATTTAAAAAAAAAACAACACCTCCATTTTCAATTTATGGAAACCTTGGGGTAGTTATTTTATGAGACTATTTTCATATTCATATAGTTGTGAATATTAAAGAGTGTTCCTCCTTAGGTTGTTTTCTTTGAAAATAAGTGTAATATTATTATTATTACTAATGGAGAAGTCCTGAGTTTGATGGACCATAAGCCTGGGGGATTGCTAAGGTAGATGGAGGGGACCTTTTCTTGGACCTGCAAGTTTGTGCTTACTCACTTCTCAACACAGGCGGGACCACTGGTGGTGGCCCAGAACCCCAGCACAAGAAAGATGATGATTGTAGACAGCAGTGAGGTCAACAGGTTGACCAGGGCTACAATGGAGGCCACCTTGGCATAATTTTGGACGCTGCCTTGAACCTTGTAGGAGAAGGTGATGACAGTCCCCGTGCCCAAACTCAGGGAATAGAGCACATGGCCTCCTGCCTGACGCCATAGGTCCAGCGAGGCCAAGGCAGACAGCTGTAGAAGGGAGGGAGTAAAGGATGGGCTCAGAGGGTGGAACCACTGGTGTCTGGGTGAGGGGCAGGCTGGAGTAGAGAGTAGGAGGAGGGATAACTTAGGGCAGGAGAAGGGAAGAAGAGACTCAGAGGACGCCTTGCAAAGGAGAGGGCTTGGATTCCTTGACCTCACCTCTGTGGTCACCACACGTTTGAGGCTGACACTTGCACCTTCTAGGAAGAGACCTCGGATGAGGAGGCAGACGATGATGATGTAGGGGAGGAATACATATAAAATCAGCATCTGGCCAGGTGGGTCAGGATAGAAACCAGAAGTTAGGGAATGTAGGGAGAAGATAAGGAAAGAAGACTTCAGGCCAGCAGGAGTAGAGAGATGGAGGTGGAGTGTTGGACTGGCCCGCCGGTAACAAGAGGGAGTGATGGGAGGATTATTTGAGGGAGAGAACACTGTTGTTTGGGAAACTATTCCTCAATACACTACTTAGGGATAAGGGATAAGACTTCAAAATGGCCTTTTACTAGTAGGGCAGTTGGACATTGTAAATTGATGGGCCTATGTGTGAGGAAATACAAGGGAAAAGGAATCAGTGAGGTTGAAGGCTGTATGGAACAATTTCATAGGTGAAAGGAAGGAAAGGAAACTAACAAGAAACTGGAAGAAAGTAACCTGATTCAGAGGGATTTTAAAGTTTTTTGGATCTAGGGTAGGTAGAGGTACGCCCTTTCTCCTAATGTGCATCTTTAGTCAAGTCAAGTCTACATTTGTGTGAAGGAGCCCTGGTAACATAGTGGTTTATGTGTTGGGCTGCTAACTGCAAGTTCAGCAGTTTGAATCTATCAGCCCCTCCACTGGATAAAGTTGAGGCTGTCTGCTCCCATAGATTTACAGCCTCAGAAACCCTGTAAAAGGTTGTTTTGAGTCAGAACCGATTCTATGGCACACCATAGATTACTTGGAGACTGTGAAGAAGATGGTGAGTTGAGTCTTCAAGGATACTTGGGTGAAAGTTGACATGGATGCAGGGGATCAGAAATTGCAGGTAGAGTTAATCAAAATTATGAGGAGGATCTGCTAAATAGGCAGAAATACAATTTTTATGTACGGGGAATATGGCTTAAGAGCTAATGGAACAAGTTGGAAGAATGGATTGGAATAAAATGCTGTAAATGGGAAGCTCTGGAAAAGAAGGATGCCAATCTTTGGGGATATCATGTACTGTTCAAAATATAGGAATGGGGAGCATGCAGGGCTCAGGGTGGGAAGCAGTGGTGTCTGATCTAGAAGTCTGCCCACAGGTCTCTGCATGCAGTGACTTGGGGGTGAGGGATGACGAGGGAGTTGGACCAGTTAGAGGCACTCTTTCACATCTTGGATGGGAAACAGAGGGACAGTTGAACAAGACAGTTGAATGCTTGACAAGAGCACAGCATCTTCCTCAGGACCTACAATGGAACGAATGATGGGCGACCACATCTGACATTTTTCTCTGGGTGGTTAAGAGGTTGTGGGAAGTAGAGAGCTATAGGAATTAACCCAAAAACCCCACTGTTTGACTGCTGTTGTGTCAATTCTAACTTGTAGCGGCACTATAGGGTTTCTGAGACTGGAAACCTTTAAGGGAGTAGACAACCTTATCTTTCTTCTGTGGAGTGGCTGGTGTGTTTGAACCACTGATCTTGCAGTTAGCAGCCCAATGCTTAACTCATAGTGCCACCAGGGTTCCTTACAGGGATTGGAGTAAAGCAATCACCAGGGAGGACTTGGGTGGTATGGATGGCCTAGGGGCAGGGAGTGTGGGGATCTTTGGATTTGTAAAGGTGGAGAGGGGAGTAGGGTCAGCAAACAAGGTGGCTTACCGGCATGGAAATCTTTAGCTCTGTGATCATGATTAAGAAGAGGAGGAACCAGGCTGTGAGGATGCCCAGGGTGAGGTTCAGGACGAGGACCTCAATGCCTTCCTCAATGTTGCTTGATGCATTCAGGATAGTGTGGTACCAGAAGTACTGGTGGGGCACAGTGTGAAGGCAGGAGAAGTCTGGGGGGGACCCATGTACTTAGGCACCACCTCATTGGGGCCAACCCCTAATCTCCTTCCCCAGCTCTTGCTTCTTGGTGTCCCTGCCTCCCTTAGTCTTACTGGCCCCCTCCTCACCAGTTCCATTGGAGTTCTTCACCAGTGGGCACTGGTTCCAAGGCAGGGGGTGACTGAAGGAGTGGGCCAGGTAAGAGAGGCACCAGGAGATGATGGTGCTGTTATACAAGCTCATCAAGAAGCACACCTGCGGGTGGATACAGTGGACCTGAGGAGCAAAGTAGGTGGACACAGGGAACCTGGAGACTCTAAGGAGTGAACTGGGATGGCTCTTGCCTGGGCCCCTCATTCACCAGCATGCTAGCGTAGCCCATGCCGCCCAGCCAGGGAACGAGCTGCTTCCAGACCCGGGCGTTGTTCATGCGCAGCCATTGCCCCAAGATCATCTCCATGTACAAAAGGGGAGTTCCGATCAGTAGAAGTATGAAGACGTACGTCAGGATAAAGCTGCCTGAGAAAAGGAGCCAATCGGAAGTTGGCTTAGGCAACCGCAAGTCCTTGTCCCTCACTCCCTTATCACCTAGGAGTCTGTGCACCCAGCCCTTCAACTTTCCCATTTAGTAATCCAATCTTCAATTCTTTCCACCCTCAGACCAAGGAGTCTGCACCCCAAGCTCCTACCTCCCCCAGAACACAGGAATCCAGGCCCTCCAGTTTACTTTCAGACCCAGAAGTCCAGGCCCCCTAAGTCTCCTCCCCTAAGACCCAGGAGTCCAAGTTCATAGCCTTAAAGAAACTCCTTCCTTAAAATTCAGAATCCAAGCCCTGGGCATTACCTCCTCCGTTCTGATGACAAATGTAAGGGAAGCGCCAGATGCTGCCTAGCCCCATAGAGAAGGCAACCAGGGTCAAGATGTTCTCAGTGTTTTTTGTCTGAGCAAAGGAGCTTCGGATCTTGGCAGTCCGAATCTCCTTAAGATTGGAAGGTTTGGAATTTCTGAAGAGGTCTTCCTCTGAGAGCTCAGACATTTCCTCTAAGGACTCCATGACGCCAGGTCCACCAATCCTGAGGGAGTGTTTAGGGGACATGTCTCAGGCACTATATTGTAGACTTTTATGATAACAAGCGTTTGGTGTAATGAAGACCAACCCTTCTCCTCACTGATTACTGACTTTGGGATAGTAGTTTTCATAGCTTCAAGACCCAGTTTTTTCTCATCTTTCAAAATATTTAGTAAGTGGTATGGCATGAGCACGGACCAATCAAAACAGATGCCATTAATACTGGGTTTAACATCAGCCCTTCCTGAAAGGATTACAGATGTCATAATGGCTTCAGTGATTCAGAATGGCATGATAAACACACACATACACACACACACCAGAAAGCAACAGGTGCTGATGAGATGGTGGAGAATTGCAGCCCTCATCTATTGCTGGTGGGAATATAAAATGACACAGCTCCTTTGGAAAACACATTGGCGTTCTTCAGAAAGTTGGATATAGAACTGCCATGTTCTTGTTGTTGTGAAGTGCCGTCGAGTCGATTCCAACCCATAGTGACCCTGTATAGGGTTTCCAAGAAGAAACTGGCAAGCTTGAACCACTGGACCTTGCAGTTCAAATGATTTTGCAGTCTGATGCATTAGCCCACAGCGCCACACCAGGACTCGTAGGTCTCAACACAGGACTCAACAATTCCAAGCCTAGGTGCCCAGAAATGAAAGCAAGACCACAGACAGAAAACTGCATTTTTCATGAAGCGCTTCTCACGATAGCCAAAACGTGGAACCAACTGGAATGTCCATCAACAGATGAGTCTCAGTGTCTTAGTTCTGCTATGAAACACCACAAGTGGGGAGCTTTAATGAACTGACATTGACTTTCTCATGTTAGAAGAAAGCTTTGTCTGCTCTGGGGAAAAGTCCTATCTCAGCTTCTCGAGTGTTTTTCTCAGTGTTCCTTGGAGAGCTCCATGTGGCATTTATCTTTTCCCCATTTCTCGTACTTGATTCTGTGCTCACTTGGTTCCATTTATATCTCAAAAATAATTGGTTTAGACCACACTCTACATTGATATGGGTTCATTAACATAAAAGAGAAAACCCTGCTCCCAAATGGGATTGAATTCACAGGAATAGGAGTTAGGATTGACAACACATATATATATATATTTTTTGAGGGGGGGCATAATTCAATCCATAACAAGATGACAAATGAGGTATATACATGCAATGGAATATCATTCAAACATCAAGAGAAATGAAGTCCAGATGCATGTCACAACATGGATGAACCTTTAAAACATTATGCTGAGTGAAATAAACCAGTCACAAAAGGACAACTACTGCACATCTTAATTATATATGAAATAAGCAAACATATAGAAACCAAAGGTTACCTGTGCTTATCAGGAATGGGAGAGAGGGAGAAAGGATGAGTTTTTGCTTAGAAGACATTGTGTTTCTGTTAATGATGGTGGAATGATTTGAAAAGGATGTGATAATGTTTTCACAACATGAAGGATGTAATCAATGTCATTGAATTATACATGCAGATAGTTGGAAAATGTTTTGTTTATACACATTTTAACTACAATAAAAATATGGCATAATGGATATTCAGTACCAAGGACTCAGTAAACACCCAAGACATGTAGGCTTCTATCCTTTCTTCTTCTGATCTTCTTGGAAATCTTTAGGCTCAACTGATGCACTTGGAGTCCTGGTGTGGCACTGCAAACCCACCATCCGCTCCTTGGAAACCCTGTACAGGATCACTATGAGTCAGAACCAGCTTGATGGCACTTAACAACAACAACAATGCACTTGGACTTCTAAGCCAATGGTTCTCAAAACTGGACATCTACCACAATCAGTTGAGGCTTGACCTTTGAAAACCTAGATTCCCGCCTTTCATCTTCCTATCCTTACTCCTCCAGATTCGGATCCAGTGGTTCCAAGTGGAGGCATAGGATTTGGTAGTGTTAAAAGCTTTGTGGTGTCACTTCCAGAATGGCAGTATGAGGAGCTCTATGGACCCACCATCTAGAGAAGCAAGCATACCTGATGAAAATTATAAAGATAAAAAAATTCAATCCTTTATGATCTCTAGAAATAACCTGAGGGCACAGAAGAAATGAAGAAACATTTGTTCAAGATACTGTACTAAAGTAATTAAATCTAACACTCAGCAAGAACAGCAAGAGTTGTTGAAAAGCGTGCACAGTTCAGTTCTTCTCTGTAATACATGGAGTTGTCACGAGTCAGAACCAACTCAACAGCACTTAGCAATAACAACCTTCTAGTCAGTGAATTATTCCTCCTTTCCTCCTACCCCTGGTAACCATTAAAGACCACAATAGTGGTCTCATACAACATCTGTCCTTTTGTGACTGGCTAATTTCACTCACCATGTTCTTCTTTTTTAGTAATGCTTTGCTTATCTGGGGTCTCTTTCCTTTCCAAATAGTTGGTGATAAGTTTTTCCATCTCTTTAAAGAATGATGTTGGAATCTGATCTGGGATTGCATTATATTGATAGATCACTTTGGATAGTATTGATATTTTCACAATGGTAAGCCTTCCTATTCATAAACATGGTATATTCTTCCATTTATGTAAGCCTCTTTTGGTTTCTTGCAGTAGGTTTTTTTTGTAGGTTTCTTTGCATAGGTCTTTTGTTTCTCTGGTTAGATTTATTCCTAAGTATTTCATCTTTTGGGTGTTTTTTATAAATGGTATTGCTTTCCTGATTTCCTTTTCAGAGCTCTCTTTATTACTGTAAAGGAATCCAACAACTTTTTGTATGTTGATCTTGTACCCTGCCACTTTGCTGAATCTTGGAGTTCCAATACTTTTCTTGCTGAGTCTTTAGGATTTTTTAGTATAGGGTCATATCATCTGCAAATAGAGAGAGTCTAAATTCTTCTTTGCCATTTGGATGCCTTTAAATTCCCTTTCTTACCTTACAGCTGCATTGTTAAAACTTCCAGCACAATATTGAATAGGAGTGGGAATAAAGGCATCCTTATCTGATTCCTGAGTTTGAACTGCCGACCTTGCAGTTCAAACCGACCTTGCAGTCCAGTGTTTATCCTACAGTGCCACACCAGGACTCTGAAGAAGTTGGTAGAATTCTTGTTTCATCATCACTGACTTTAGTGGTTGGTGCATAAATTTGAATAATTATGATATTAACTGGTATTTCTTATAGGCGTATGGATATTATCCTATCACAGACAGCATTGTACTTCCAGATAGATCTTGAAATGTTCTTTTCGATGATGACTGCGACACCATTCCTCTTTGTCATTTCTAGTATAGTAAGCCATATGATTGTAAAATCAAAAGTGGCCAATATCAGTTCATTAATGCCTAGGATATTGATCTTAATGTGTTCCATTTCATTTTTGACAACTTCCAATTTTCCTAGATTCATAATTTGTACATTTCTTGTTCTAATTATTAATGGATGTTTGCAGCTATTTGAGTTGTGTCCCCTCAGTAAATAAAGATCCGAAAAGCTTTACTCCATTTGCCTCATGATGGGCAACTCTGAGGAGGCAGCTCTTCCCCAGTCGTATTTTGAGTGCCTTCCAACCTGAGGGGCTCATCGTCCGGCACCATATCTGACGATTGCTTTTAAGTGCCATCGAGTCGGTTCTGACTCATAGTGACCTTGCACAGAATTTCTGAGGAGTGACTGGTGAGTTTGAAACTGCCAACATTGCAGTTCAAACTGACTTTGAAGTCTAGTGCTTATCCTATGATATTTTGGTGCTATTCATCAAGTTATAATATTCAATATTCTGGTGCTATCTAACAGTGTTCCACTGCTAATCATAAGGGTTTCAGTGATTAAATATTCACAAGTCGTCCTCCTTTCCTTCCTACTCTTAGTTAGGAAGCTCAGCTGAAACCTGTCCACCATGGGTTACTCTCCTGGTATTTAAAATACTTGTTGCATATCTTCCAGCTTCACAGCAACCCACAAGTCACCACAGTCTGACAAACCGACAGATGAGTGCTGATTGGTTTTGTATATATACCCTTAGCTGTGGTGACAAGTTTCCCTTCTATTCCTATTTTGTTGAGTATTTTTGATCAGGAATGAGTGTTGGGTTTTGTCAAATGCCTTTTCTGCAAAGACTGATATGAACGTGTGTGTGTATTTCCTTTGTTCTGTTTATGTGGTGGATTACATTGAGTGCTTTTCCTAATATTGAACCACCCTTATATACCTGGTATGTATCCCACCTGGTCAGGATGCTTTATTTTTGATATGTTGTTGGATTCTATTGGCTAGGATTTTGATGACAATTTTTGCATTCATGTTCATGACAGATATTGGTCTATACTTTTCTTTTTTAGTGACGTCTTTGCTTCGTTTTGGTATTAGGGTTATGCTCAATTCATATGGTGAATTTAGGTTTCCTATCCTTTTCTATGAAGAGTAGAGATGTCAGCTTGAGGACTAGGGTGTGCCTGACCCAGGCCATTGTGTTTTCAATAGCCTCATATGGATGCGAAAGCTGGACAGTGAATAAGGAGGATCGTAGAAGAATTGATGCCTTTGAGTTGTGGTGTTGGAGGAGAATACTGAAAGTGCCATGGACTGCCAAAAGAACCAATAAATCTGTTTTGGAGGAAGTGCAGCCAGAGTGCTCCTTGGAGGCCAGGATGGCTAAACTTCGTCTCTCCTACTTTGGACATATTGTCCGGAGGAAACAATCGCTGGAGAAGGATGTCATGCTGGGTAGGGTGGAGGGTCAGAGAAAAAGAGGAAGACCCCCAACGAGATGGATCAGCCAGGTGGCATCATTGATGGACTCGGGGGTGGCAGCGGTAGTGAGGTTGGCCCAGGATCAGACATTGTTTCGTTCTGCTGTGCATGGGGTCGCTATGAGTCGGTTCCGACTTGATGGCACCTGACAACAACAACAACAACATCCTTTTCTATGTTCTGAAATAATTTTTTTTTGTTGTTTGTTCTGAAATAATTTGAATAGAATTGGCTTCAGCTCTTCTCCGAATGTTTGTTAGAATTCACCAGTAGGCCATCTGG